CACTTCCTCCAATGGTCTGATCGTTTTCCTGACAGGCTCAAAAAACACACAAGTCGCGTGATAAACCACGTCCGTCGGCGAGCGGCAAGGATTGTTGTTTACCTTCCCCTGCTGATTACCACTCGCCACTGCACCGCCAGAGACGGCAGAAACCACCGACTGCTTGAAGTCGTTGCCGATGACGAGAACCGTATTTTCCTCTGGATAGGAGTACAGCGACTTCGGCCTTTGGAAGGAAAATAAGTGACGTTTCGTCCGAAATGGCGGCTTTGGCGGCACATTTTCGTCCAACGCAGCAAGCGAATCAGAGTCGGTAGAGGGAGCGTTGCGAACGAGTTCGTCAGCAAAGCATCCTTCATCTTCGCTGGTATCGTTGTCGCACGACTCCGTTGATCGCAATGCGATCTTGGTTACTCCACAGCTAGAGTTGCTACACATACTGTAACAACATGATTCGGAGCTGAACTTGTGCGCGGTCGGGAACAGCAGGTCCGAAGCGACGCTCAGACAGCCAGAGTCCACGCTGAGCGACGACCTATGGCTAACGTTGCTATTTAACTCCACGCCGCTGGATGTAGGACTGCGACCAGCGTTTGAACTTTCTAGCAGTTCAGAAATGCACTTGGGATCGGTTTGAGGCTAAAACAAAGCAAGCCACATAAACAACGTCATTTGTTAATCTGGTCATGTTAATCATCGAGTTTTGCTATAACGATAAGCGTGATTAAAAGTAAAGAAACTTTTCAACTCCGCAAGGCATATACTTGCTTGTCGGTTCAGTGTCTGCAAGGAACTAGTAATCGACACGATTTCGTTTTTGGAAAAATCTCGTTATTCGCCTTCCTTCTGGCTGTCTCAATTATGACCTTTGGTCCGCGATAGACATAAGCTTTTAATTAAGCATTTAAGTAAATGAGAACTGTGAGCTTTGAAAGGAAATCGTCTAAAACAGATCTATTTTGGACCGATTCACTGTTTATCACCGTATTAAAACTTAGCATCAGCAAGCATAGATTCTTTTTAAGTTACCATTCAGAAGGGCCCTCATTCGCTCTGAACGTTCGTTTCAATCCATTTAACTACGAATTCTTTCATGTTTACTTCTATGTCAAAAGTGTGGAATAAAACATTAGCTCCAGGCAAATCTCATTAGGACCATGTTCACCTCGAACAATACTATGTGCAAGATGTAAATATTTCCTTCCTTATCCTACCTATTGATATTGAACGGAACGTTTGTTCCTTTCTCATAAAATTATATACTTTCAATACGAACACCAAGAGTATTTTGCCCTACAGGAAAATGATGACAGAGAAGAACTTAAATGAATATCACACCATTACGATGAGCTTCAACTTAATATGAGCATTGCATAGTATGGCCCTGTCTGGAATCATCTACTATTTGTACTTTAATCAAAGGCCCAACTGCTTGACCGCAACGTCACTACTAGTCTGTCACCGAACTTTACCGAATAAAAATCCTTCTTGCATTTCACTGCCAAGTTTGTGTGCAATGTGTTGTCATCGCCATCTGGGGTCAAAAACAGAGTACTCAGATTAATGATGTCTGACGCTTTGGCTTCTCCGAACGATTTTAGCGATATGGGTTGCAGCAGCGAAGGCCATGCTCCTCTTCGCAAGCAAGTCCGCCTCTAGCAGCTGCTTTAGAGTGCGATTTTGGCCTCCGACCCGCCTGCGGCCATTTTTTGCTTCCCAGAGGAGAATGGTTTTGGAGAAGACTTCATTCTCTCTACGGATGGTTCTGTCAAACCACGAAAGACACCAGTCCCTGATTT